GTGCACCTGCCTAGAGAGTTGGAATGTTGTGAATACTTTGGTGTGACATGCCGGGGTAGAACGAAAATCAGTGACAGATTTACGAAGTACACTCCCTATCAACATGAAACGGCTTCAATACGCTCGGGGAATCACAGCCACCACACTATACGTCGAATTCCACTACCCAGTGGCTACACAACAAAGTACGGTTTCTGAACAATTTCCGCGCACCCAACATGTGCATTTGCAGAATCCATGTCAGATGGGCCAAACCCCACAACTCACCCTCCGCCGCTACTATCCTACTCTGAAGGCCCCTTGCCACCACATATTACCGAGCTCGCTGTCAGTATATCAAAGCCCTTCGCAGATGCAATCCTGCGTCCCTCGCTACCCTGTATCGCGTATGCTACTCTACCTCAACTGTGCCATCAATTCAACAAAGTCGCATGCTATGTCGGGCACTGCCGCGAGCAAACACATGTCGTAAAGCCTAACCAGCCTGTCTGAAAATGGTGCGCGAAAATGCGTTCAACTGCGAAGCACAGTTGCGCTGCTTCATGCACAACTTCACGTATCTGCACACATCGGCATACTTACACAGGCCTGCCATCAAAGTGCCAAAAACGTAAAAGGTCCCATGTCTTCCCCGAGATAAAAGCCATCTCTGTCTCTGAGTGCGTACGTCCTGGGTAAAGTAGCGCGCAAGCATAACACCGGAAAAGGAACTGCCGGACCACTGTTGCAAACGGTACTGACCCGGAGTCGTGAACGATGCTCAACCCATTGCGCTGTGAATATACTGCATCACCAATTAGAAGAGCATGCGCATATCAAGACCATATGTTACCCCACTTACCAATGCAACTTCCTGAGTCTTCACACATGCACATCCACTTCTATCTCTGGTAGCATGCAAGCTGAAACGTAATAGCTGCCACAACCCTGTCAAGATGATATATACTACGCAAGGTTTATAGCTCCTTCAAACAGCCCTGTTGCCTAACGCATCGTATCTACGCAACTGGGAGATCCCTATTGTGTGCATGTTGCTATCCACTATCAAGTTTCCTTATCCGAGTAGAGCACTCGTAAACATAACGTAAAATAGTAGGCGTAAGACCGCCCAAAAATATCCCCAATTACCTTATACTATGCATGTCGTCCAGGGAGGTCACTTCAACTCCCATGCATGATACTAATATGTTTCTGTACTTTCGTAGGCGTGTTCCGCTCGCGCCATCCACGAGCCAATGACTCACTCCATTGGCTGGTAGTCTCGAACGCCACCCAAATTCTACGCAAATCGTATAGCAGCCTTTCGTACCATAGTCAAAGAACTTGTTGTTCACTTTCATATAGTTATCACTGCCATACCAGAGAGAGGTTGTGTACGTTAATTCCCTGGTGATATTCAAGAACACGTGAACATCCAGCGAGCTCAGGCCGGCCCACAGATGTGTCGCGGGAGAGCTCGCCAACCGGAAACACAATTGATAAACCACGCCTGACTAATTTCAACACCAATTATCCGTGTATACAGACATAGACGTTGACTATAAACACGGAAAATGTTAGTGACAATTTGACTGTATTAACTTTTCCTTTTGAAGAACCAGAGAACACCAAAGTTTGCCACTATTCTGAGTATCTAGGCCTTTCTGGCGAAACATAAACAAAATTCGTCAATTGATACCCTCGACGTGGTGCATATACGGTGGGATTCAGTACAAATAATTCATAGTCCATGGAATACGAAGTGATTTGCAAGGATAGCATTTCACCGGTAAAGCGAGCAAGTTTACGTGAAAACTGCGAGCCCAGCCTTACACGAGAGGCTTTTAATTCCGTGCTCAACGAATTTCTCGAACAAAACGCCCAGTCAGTGTGAAGTTGCGTTCTGATATAGGATTCTCACTACCAAAGTCAATACCAACATTGCGCTCGCTGTTTGGCTCACGTCATTCCCAGAAGGTGCATCGGCCTCTCTCGCCCACCCTACATCCACCGAAGACGTAGGGCGAGCAATACTCAGCTCGGTCCCTAGATACAACTCACTGGCCATCCAGGATGCTGACTGTACAATTAGATGACATTTTGCGCGTTGCATGAAGGTCTCGCTCCCAGGAGTGAATCAGCCTCACAAGTGATGAAACTCAGTTGATACCGCAGCTCTTCACCTCACGGGAACGTTCCTGTGTTCCACTCAAACTTTGAGATTTTCACTTGCCCGAAGCGCGCTAACTCATGGCGTTTCAACGCCTTGATCCAGCCCTTTGCCAGACAGGGACCCAGATTCTCCAAGCTAGGACCTACGCCGCATGAACCTGAAGCTCTTTCCGAAAGTCTTCGCTTATTAAGTGAATAACGATTCCAATTCTTATTGGATTTGAGGGCGTTGACGCACAGGAAAACAAGATACATCATAGCAAGTGTGGCAGCCAAGCCAGCAAACGTTACAAGCGCTGACCCAGCGCGTCCGCTTCCTTGTGTAATGGTAGGGGCACTCTCACCTAGCACGAGAGAATCATTGCGAACAGCCATGATCTCAGAGTTGGGATCAGGAGAGGCTGCCGCTTGAATGATGGCAGTCGTCTCCGCTACAAGTGCAATGGAGACAGCGACAATTTTTGTGAACCCACTCATTTTGACCGGCAAATGGGAGTGTTATTGCGTTCAAAGTGAGGGCAAAAAACGTTTATCCGTAAATTTCAATGTATATGTGAAAACAATAATTCTTGTGACGTTCATCGGGATCACCCCAACATGCACAGATCCGCAGTGGGGAGCGCATGCACGATTTGGACAGGGTAGTGCACGGCGTTTCAGGTAGGCAACTACGCTTGTCTATCAGTCAAAAAACAGAGAACCTGCCCCAAAGCCGTGCAATTGGCCCAAATATCCCAGAAAAATATAGTGATGTAAATTGTTACTGAGTTTCATCCAATTAGGTAGGTCGAAGAAAACAGTATACTCTCGATAACGCCTACGATGTAAGTGTGCGGAAGCGATCTATATGGCGGCCAGCCGTGGCCACCCAGTACTCCATTAATCTTACCAAATTTTCTCGGTAAGATACTTTATCTACAACTTTTTGAAGTCTCCATGCAAATCAATATTTATCCCTAGTCACGGGTGGCTTAAGAGTAGGTGTAGCCTTGTAACGCGGCAACTCGGGTTCCGGAACATTGTCCGCTGACTGCAGTGAGCTGCATTGGTGACAAAGTACTTATTGTGACGGTTTCTTAAATGCAAATGAATTTAGTTCCAAGCCTCCCTGCGTCGTGAGGTTAGCACGTCAAGCACCACCACAGGGGGCGCCTGCCATAAGTGGCGCCCCACCTTGCTGCAACTAAAGATGCAGAACAGCCCCTCACACACAAGCAAAATAGACCTTCTGGGCTGCATGTAAATACGCTGCAGGCAGTAGCTGAGTTGAGCTGGTTGCATGCTACCCGTGTACTACACCCGAATATGGGTGTAGTTCACGCACAAATGCAGCATAGCGTGGACGATGTTGATAACTCTGTCCGAAGTTGAAACATCAACCCACACCTGGTCCGACGAACCTTGTCCCCACGTCACACCCATGTTTAGTACAGAAGGCGTGTTTAAAATTTATGTGCCATACAGAATGCGTTTAAAATATGTCCTAACTTTCTCGAAATCTTTGTCAAATCTCAGCGGTGCATTTCTCCTGGAAAATGAAGATTGATATGGGTCTGTCCCCAGGTGCAGAAGGGATGGCGTTATATGCTTTTGCTACAATCTCCCTCTGTATGCAGAAATCGCTTCCGCTCTAACCCAGCAAGACTCCAAAAGATTGGTTCTTGTAGCAAAAGCATATAACGCCAGCCATCCAGGTATGGCAGTTGCCCGAGTACGGGGGCAGTAGAGGAGCTGTTCCTCTTTAGAGCTTTATTTTCTTCTTCAACAACACCCCCAGACCAGAATAACTGCAACTACTGGCCTCTTCGTTTTTAGGAACGGAAGCATGACGTCTGTGAGTGTACCTACGCAAGTGTACCGTTTACAACGTATGCATCCGGACTATAGAACCATTATGGCCTTCCGACGTAACTCCATTCCTCTGTGGGTGCGCGAAGAGGCTATGGCAAAGTTGAAACTTATGCATCAACAGAGAGTTACATCGAAAAGGATGAGGCATGGAACGCACAATCCCAGCGGTAGATTTGGAATTTATGTATCAGTGCTTCATTGGGTTGTTATACCCTGGAGGATGGCAGTGGGTAATCCCAACATTCATACCCTCATTATCATGGTCGCCGCTGGCCAGTCGGCTGTGATGCCAACCCCTCCTAGAGAGGTGGGAATCATGGGAGGAGACAGCAGTCGGGGAATTCGTGAATGCCGAGGTCCTCGGCTGTAGTCTGTTCCCACCGCTCGTGTCTAGCGCAGTACTTACTTCTCTTCCAGTAGGATATGGCACAAAATTAGCGGCTGCAGAGGTGCAGGAACATCGAGAGTGTTGCAGAAGCAGGACTTCCAGAAACGCCACGAGGCGAAGAATCAGAGCGATCAGGGGGAAGTCAGGGCCCGTACTCGATATGTGGCGCCGTAAGCAGGAAGCAGGAGGCAACAACCGTGCCCGCATACTATCTTTGGCTTAATTGTGTGCATATTCAACTATTCAACTTCGTCCTACCGGACAGGAGTTGCTTGTGCTACTCAGCATATGTTGCGGAGTGGTTGTGAAGCTACGTCGAGATGGAATATTCCAACCCATACATTGGCGCAGCCCCCGCCGCCTCCCTTCGTGCATAGTAGACAGCAGATGCGAACAAGAATATAGGGATAAAAAGTTCAGTTAATGCAGAAATATAGGTCCCTTGGAGGTATTGCAAAGGGAAACAAACGAGTGCTTACACACACAGTCTGAGACTCAATGAGCGTACAGCGTTATTTGTACAACGCGAAATTAGCTCTGGCTGTATCCGCCAGAGCCATCGTATTTGGGGCTTTCGCATGGCAGATAATGGCACGAGGCGAGCAAGAGGAGGAGGTCGCTCTCGTGCTCCAACATCTTAAATTGCAGGACACACTAATGAACTAATAGAACACCATGGGATTATTCAGACGCATGAAGACCCCGACTTCTGGGCGTGCCGTAGGAGTTGGAGCTCCCTCGCATCCCCTTTTAAACCTTTTTGCTCGAGGCGGCAACGCCCAACTCCAAACCCTAGCTATCAAATTTTCAATGTCAGTGAGGTTTGCATACACGGAAATGAGTGGAACAAGCATCTCTGAGTTATTAGCTCATTTGTTTCGTATACGGCTAGAGGAGTGTTCCAGGTAGAAGACAAAGAAGTGGATCCAACGCACTGCAGCAGCGTTCCGGTTAACGGCGGAAAATTGTGCACGCATCGTGAGGATCGTGCGAATACCGCTCTAGAGTGTTTCTTTTCAATGCAAATGATTAGCTTCTTAGGCTCCAATGTCTCGCCAGCGCTGGCTGAACCAGATATGGCAACGACTGATGCCATTCGGAAGGGTCCGCTAACTTATTGTAGTGCGCCAGCACTACAGTGGATCTTCTTTTGGGCCCCACTGCTGCAAGGTTTCCGTAATTCACTACTAATGTATCAAAACATCGTTTAACTGAGCAGTGACCCGCTGGCCCAATAAAGATTGAAGATAGTCATTGCCATTGCCCTGGAGGGTAGCCAGAGCATTTTTCGAACAAAAGCAATAATCATATGTTCAAATAGGCCTGGGACCAATTGAGAGGTGTTTTCGCAGGTGTCTTCCTTACCCATCCTGATTGGGTGGAATCCTGCTTGGAGGTCCACGGCAGACAAGAATCGAAGGCCCCCAGGATTTTCTCGGTATGTCGTAGAGGGAAACCAGGGGCAACAGCAAGACCAATTATTGCCTGCTAGTGAACAACTATGCGCAACTGTCGCTTGCCTGGTCCATCATCATGATTTTCGGGCACGTTCGGGGGAGCGCAGATGTTGGAATAGCCGGGCCAGTGCACCTGTTGGTTAGGAGCTTGATGATTGTATACCGGTGGAAGGTTACCTGGCCAGTGGGCATGCAGTAGAGGGCGGATGTATTGAGAAGTTCTCCGGGTAGCAATATGGGTTGCTCTTCATGGGTGCCCGCTGGCTGACAAACTACCTGCGAGTACAGACCAATATTCTTTAAGAACCTCAAGTATTAGCGATGGTGTTCTCTGGGCTACGTCTGGCTGTAACCACGCGCAAAGCTGCGTGTATTACAGAGAAGGCGTGGGTTATGACGACTTTCCGTCGTCCGAATCATTTGGTGGAGAGGCGGGTAATAGTCCGCGTTGCTGCAGAGAAAAATTGCCACTGCAATACTCGGCAAGCACAAACAGCAGGGATCCTTGCCGTTTTTCGTAAAGGTGAATGGACCGCCGTGTATCCGCTCTTGTTAAAACCAGTATGGGCCGTCGGCTCTATAAAGCGCCCGTGAAGTTCGTCGTGTCCGCGGATGCTCTAGTTCTTTGGTGCGCAGCCTAGCCTTGGCTGTGCAGTGCCCCTTGTATCACCTAGGGCTAGGGTAAAATAGCATAGCCGCCACCGCTGCAGATATCACAGCCACCTGCGGTGTCAGCGTGGCATACGCCGGCTTTGTAGGGGTCTGCTCCAACCGACTTTGAGAAATTGTTTCTGCTCGACTTGCTCATTTGTTCTTTGATTAATAGATTAGTCAGATCCTACATTGGCCATTCACGTAGGTTGGCAACTTATCAGACTGAAAAATTCCAAGTCACCTGATGGGCCATCAGGCAGCCTAGTCCTAGGACTTGGTCGTAGGGCTTTGGCCCCAATAAGAAATCACCAAATAAGCACTTACTTTCAGTCCACATAGAGAGTCGGGTGACCATCGTGGTCGGTGTTCAGATGTTTCCTATTTGCCACTGCAAATTGGGGTGCCTCGTGTAAACGGCACGCTGGTCAGTCCAACTGATTTAGGGTATGTTTCCTATTTGCCACTGCAAATTGGGGTGCCTCGTGTTATCGGCACGCTGGTCAGTCCAACTGATTTAGGGTAGTCAGGCTAATGCAACTGCATCTCAAGGGTCTGTTCACATCTTTGCCCAATCATATCGATATCTAGCAGTGCGGGTACGCCCACACTGAATAGAGAGCTTGAGACTTTTGAACATCAACATTTGCTTTCATATACAGTAGCTCCCATCACCAATGCGGAGTGCCTACTTTAGGAGAGATATAAGTCTTGCCATCGTTTGCTGCTCTTCTACTCCCTAACTCTCGTGATTGCACGGAATCGTTCCCCCCGTGTGCCTCGCTAACTCCTCCTCCGTCAAAACCGGATGAATCATGGTCTTTCCCTTCCCCTGGCTGCGGAAGCCTGTGCTTCACGCTAGGGAACACTTCGATTGCGTTCTACTCCTTGGCTACAGCAAACAAGATTTCCTTCCCTTGAAACTCCCAAGCTTCGCCGTGGGGCAAGGTCCAGCTTGCCTTCACTTCTTGGAAATAATCTTGGGGGATGCTGGAAAATGGCTTGAAAACTGCACCATGCAATGTCTTGTATGAAGTCGTGCCTAAATACTGGTGATGGGTCACACTGGGGTGACAGTTTACCAGTAGGTAGTATACATAACAACCTTGAGTGCTCAATACGCCACCAGTATTTTAGTGCAAGGTGCTTTCCTTTCCACGCTGACGAAAAACAGTACAGAAACAGTACAGAAGCACAGTGCGTCACCTGTCGATGTGCTGAGAAGTGGAGCATCGAGGAGTGCTATGTGACGACGAACATTTTGTACAGTGAGGTGAGACACACGAAAAAGCATGCTCGTTTTAGTGCTAGTTGGTGGTGACCCAGTGAGTGTGGAAAGTAAACCGCAGGCAAGAGCATTTCGCAGGCCAAATGGTTTATCGTACACTTATGTTGAAGACTTCCACTCAGAAACTCGACGAAGCAGCCGCGAAACAAAATGCATGCCTTTCCCGCTGGCCAGTGTCTTTGAAGTCCTCCAGTAACACATTCTCACAGACGGGCAGGCGCAGGCAAATATTTCACTGCGGAGAAGCTTGCGTAGTAAATTCACAGCCGTGCCTTTCCAATATGACAGCTCGCATTGGATACCTTGGGTAGCCACGGTTTCCGTTCAAAGGCAAAAAGAAGTGGCTTTCTGAGTGCCTTTGATAATGTTGCAGTTGCGTCAATTGTAGTCGGTGCAGGCATTGCGTGTTCCCTTAGGACGCGCGCATGCCTAGTCGTTGTTTGGAGAATGCAGGCAGTCTAGGAGCGTAGCCAGATCCACTTAGTTTCTACGCCACGTAAGGTGGCAGCTCCGGCGCTGAGCGACGCTGCAGGCTTCGTTGCCGGTGAGGGAACTTAGGCAAGGCAGTTACGGACTACTACCGACTGACAGGGCGGAAGTTCAAGAGATGCAATTCGACGTTGTGGAGTTTTCAGGTGCTTATCGATTAAAAGGTATAGATGATTCGTTGCAAATATACAGCATAAATCCCCTATCTATTGTTGCAGTGTCTGCCTCCTAACACTGCCTGCTGTTCACAGAAACCACCCAGATAAGATATTCCGGGCGAATTCGTAAACGGAAATGTCATATTTTTGCTTGAGAAGTACTTTCATCAAGGTGTAGTCCATGACGACGACTTTAGGCGCATAGCGGATTGAACGTCATTTTATGTGGGCGCATGGATATGGACAGAGCAACTTCGCTTTGTTCGCGGCGCATGGCGACTACGTTTAAGTTGCAGTTGTCAGGGAACCGCACTTCCACAGCCAGTTGAGAAACAGGAATTCGACAGACACTCTTGGAGGAGCTATTCCAAATGGGGAGGTGGGCTGTATCTCGGAGTAAATGCGTAAATGCCAGAAAGGTGGAAGTACATGGACTGAAAGGGGATTTGGGTATCGCTGCAACTATGGTTGCAACCATGGTTGCAGCCCGGCTCAAAACGTGAGCTGCAACAAGGTTTGTTTCGACTCACAACAGGCCGCCAACCATACACGCCAGACCCAGGCCCTTTTGCGGTTGTGCTTTGAAGTGGTTTGACTCATTTGCAGCCCATGAATATCCCCTGATGATATCCTGGTCCTGTGCTGGACCGACTGGGGGATGTTAGAAACCAAAATACACGCGAATATAGATTTCTCTACCAACAGGGGAGAGCCACTCCTGCAAGCTCCTGCATTGAAGCTACACCAGCAAATGCACACTCGGGTCTGCAATTTCCGCTAAGCCTAGTAAAGAAATAAGATTGATTTTAGACTGTAAATCTATAGTGTAAAGTGGTATCGATGATTGCTTTGCTGAATCGGGCATGTGACTATCTCCCCAGTAATACTTCCAAAGAATGCCAGCCTCCGTCAACTTTCACGTTACTGAGAACGGGTCAAACGGATTTCAGTTGCCTGTCGACCTTCTCTCCAACGCTTCGTAAAACAGCTCACCTCTTTCTCGTAGGTGGAGGACCAAAGGCTCCTGCGGCAGAGTTCTCCGGTCTCCTCCATCGAGGAATACCCTCTCACCAGCAACGAGGAGTTGCACTCAGCTGACCATCTGCTTGAACAATTCACAAGCGAAACATGCCTTCTTTTGCCTTCGGAGTGCCTGCGAACGGCGCCACGAGGACATCAGTGCTGCTGGGGGGAAGAAGCTGCTGTCGTGGGTTGCTGTTCTTTGCAGCTCAAGACAGGCCGCCAACTACACACGAAAATGAGCGCTAATAATGCAAGCAGGACAGTTCCGTCAGTTGTTTAACAGCAGCTTGACTTGCATGGGCCAGTAGGAACCCAAGCATATACACAAACTCTTACTATTGCTAAGCACTGCAGTCCTGTAAACAAAAACTCCATGCGTGTATATACTACAACGTGGATATATGTAATGCGACGTTGATGAAGGTTTTGGATTTTTAAATCACCCTCATTGGCGAACAGCTTAGTCACATATGCCTTACTCATATTACGGTGCTCAAAGGATCTCGACATTGCACGAGATGAGGGGACAGCCACACCCCCTAGCTAATATTAGCACCTAGAGATGCCCGCGGAACCCTGCACTATGCGTGGCTCTGCAAATTTAACGTGAGCCACGTAGTCTGTTGTTGCGTGCCTCGTGAAAATCAAATGGAGGTGGAGACAAGGGAGCTCCTGAAAGCGCAATCAGGAGGTCCCAGGGTCAGCAAAAAAGTGTTGCACTTGCAATATTGCCCCCGCAAACCTGCAGTCAAATGAGGGAACTATGTTAATGTCTTCCACCTGCACTGCGATAGCTGCTTTACACCTGCCTGCTTAAGCACCCCTTTAGTCAGTGCTTTCGGAAGTCTTCGTAGCTCCTCAGGATATTTCAAAATTATGGAAAGCAGGAGCCCCTGAGCATATGCTGCTAAAGACGCCGATACCTCCTGATCAGGGCATTCTGCAGTCTGCGCAATGAAGTGCTGACGCCTGCTTAGGTTCAAGTACTGCCCAAGTGCGCAACGCAGGAAACTCGCTACAAAAGGAGTGGACACATGGGCGCTTCTTAGAACCGTAAGACAACTTGCCTCTTCATGAGGGCTGCTGTGGGCGTGCCCACGCGGCACCGAAGTTGTGCTGCAGTCAATGCACGAAAGCAGATCCAGCTGTACAAGCAGTCGCAGCACACTCAGGAGCTCTAGCTGGTTGAAGCGTGTATGATATGACATGAAGTGACTGGTTATTGCCTGAACCGCCTCCAGCAGCTGCTCAACCTGAAAGAGTCGCTGCCTGCGCAGCACCAGGGGCCACCTGCGTTCTTCCTCGCTTTCCACACTCGGTGAGGCTTTAGCCGCTGCCTTCAAGTCAAGCAACAACAACAGACGGAGGCCGTCAGCAATCTGTGCTATATCTGCTGGCTCCGCAGCAGCAATGTTTGCCACCAGAAGCCACAGCATCTTCCGTGCAAGCACCTGCTGCAGCTTTAGATCCACACGGCTGCACGGCAGTACGGAGGCGTATGAGGCCTTTAGGAGTTTTGAAGTGGCCCAAAACACAGTGCACCAACTTCCATAGGCAACGACAAATTTAGACTGACCTGTTGACGGTGTTGCTGCAGGGCAACAAACGGCAGCACCACGCTCCTGATGAGCTGCTGTTCTGCTGCACAGAGGCGCAGCACTCACCACTGCAGATACAGCACCAGCTGTGCTATTCTTGCTATCCTCCTTTCTCCCCTGGCTGGCCAGAGACACCTTACCCAGACTTATGTTGCCCGGCTTTACATTTAAAAACTCTAAAAGGGAGACAACAATGCAGTCAAACATGAAACTGAGACCCCGCCAACCCACACGGACGCCAGCAATAGCAAGCGAACGGCAGATGGAAGCGAGAGTTGCTGGATTCATCTTTGCATCCCTACAGGTCCCCAATGCAAGGTGTTGATGTGCATGCGTAGCAGAGGCCCCACAGACCCTTTGATACATATCCCCTAGCCGAGCGCAATCTGAGCACCATAGCTTATGCTGCTGTTTCTGTTGTTCCAGACGGCGCAATAACAGCAGCAGCAGCTTCTTTCGAGAGGCGCACGTGGGAGATGCTTTGGCAGCAGCAGCCATTGCAACCCCCAAAAGGTGTTCTGCCGATCCGCAGTCCCCGTGGTGCCTCCTGCTCCGTGCCGCTGCTTCTGTCAGGAGCAGAATCGCTAGTTTGGGGGCCAGAGTCTGCTGCACGGTTCGCAGTAAGGCTGCTACTGCGAGACAATCTGATGCGCCGAAGTCTACAAGCGCATCCAGCTGTTGCAGGGGAGCAGCAGCTGTGGCGGCAGCAAATGGGGGCCGTGCTGCAGCGTCTGACAAACGCGGGGTCCCTGCAGCCAAGAAGGGTTGATGAGATATGGGCTGTGGGGAGTCCGGAAATGCATGCATATCCTCGTGATTCCACGCATGCCCCGAAACTGCAGCGGCTGCAGCAGCAGCGGCATGCGCGGAAGCAGCGGACAGTGTGGAAGGTTGCATATTTACAGCAGCAGCAAACAGTTCGGGGGTCAGCTGCTGTTGCTGCTGCACCTGCATGCAGCGGCTTATGCCTTCCTGGCTAGCCAGCAGCACGCAGGCATGAGCTGTGTGTACACAACATCGCAGCGACAGGCGTTTCCTCAGGACTTTGCTGCGGGCCAGGAGTACCAGCAGATGCGCACTAACGAACAGAGACAGCCGCAACAGGGCGCCCCCCTCCCCTAGCACTGCTGCTGCACGGCCCCTCTGTTGCACTTCTAGGAAGCCGCTGCATTCATCACCACTGGCAAAGAGAGAAGGAGAAGCACAGGGAGATACCGAATTCGTCGCCGCAGAACCTTGCTGTCTGTCTCTACAGCTCCTTGACAGCGTGAGGTGCTGCCGCACAAAACCTGTTGGTGGTTGCTCCGCGACGTTCTGCTGCAGCAGCGACGCTGCTAGCTGCAGTCCCAACGCAGCCTCCTGTGCGCCGATGCCCTCATGCTCCTGCGTCTGCGTCTGCTGCTGCAGCAGGTGCAGCAGACGCTGCAGCGGAACATAACCCAGCGAAGGCGAGCAGCAGCGCACCTGCGCAAGGCCGCAGCACAGCTGCAGGACATCGCTTAGTGGAAGGGCCCTTCCAGCTGTGTGCATGCAGTCTGCAACAGCTCGCAGTTCCGCAGCTAGGGGAGCCGGCACCGGGCAGGCGGCATCAGCGACAGCACCAAAACCCAGCAGACTGCTGGCTCTCCCCGTCGATGCACTTTCCGCTAAGCGCTGCTGCTGCTGCTGTTTCTGTTGCTGTTGCTTCAACCGTTCCCCACGCGCAGCAATTCTCTGCACCTTAGCCCGCAGGTCTCCCAGACGCCGAACGACTACAAGGGCGGCCCTTGCGTGGGCCAGAAATGCTGAGGCAGTTGCTGTTGTAGCTGCTGCTGCAGGTGCTGTTGCTGCAGGAGGTTCTGCTTTTACTGCGGCTGCTACTTTTGCGGCTGACTCCTGCAGCTGGCGGACGGCTGCATGTTGCAGGGCATCGACTGGGTGCAGCAGCTTGTAAATGTCCCCGGGGGATTGAAGAGCAAAGCTGCCGTCGTCTATGATTTTTGTTAATTTATTACTCAGAGAGTTGAAGGAGCCTGACAAATGAGAATTATCAATGATCTTTACAAAAGAGGCAGCAGCAGTTTCTGCTGCATCCGTAGCGCCAGCAGAACAGTCTGCATCTCCAGTTGTTCCAGTAGCTGCTACATCCACAACTGCTGCCTTCCGGATGCCTCTGCGTCTGTAACAATAGCCACTGTTCAGATGAAGGCGACGTTGAAAGGCGATTCTGGATTTTGAATTAAGAAAACTGCATACCGCCGTCTGCCTCTGCTGCGGCTTGGACCTGATAAAGCGGGAGCGAGAGAGGCCTCTGGCCCCATGGAGTCCAACTAAATCGATTTTTAAGGAACAGTTTAAAACTAGACTCTTATGAATCGCTCTCTCTCCTCTTGCCGTCCTCAACAGACAAACTCCAGACAGCAGCATCCCTGCAGCAGGAGGCACTGCCCTGTGCAGCAGACTCCGAAGACATGCTATTGCACACACATATGACTATAGCACATAAGAATGTACTTTTGCAAATGCAAAGGAATAAATTTGCTAACAGATAGAGGGAAGCTCCCTTGCATCTCACAACTCCCGTTGACTTAGAGGGGGCCCCTCTTGGGCCCCTCGGGGGCCCCCAATGGGCCTCGGGCGCCCATGGGCCCTTCGGGGGCCCGCTATTCGGTAGCTGTTCGGCACGAGTTCAAAGCCCTGCAGATGGTTTGTACTTTGAAATCGAGTTATAAAACAGTCAGGATTGAAGAATTTGTGCTTCGAGATGAGCAAAACCCCCAATTGGGTCTCCCCACCGCGGCACCCATACATCTGAATCTGCGGCAATGCGGGCGCGTGAAGGAGGGAACCTCGGCGTTTGTCCGAAAACTATGAATAAGAGGCCAAAAGATATGTCAGTTAAGGCGAAGAAGCCTAAAACAGAAGCAGATGCGGATATAAAGGAGCACGAGTGTGAGGGCCTCAGCCACGGAATCATCCGGGAGTTGCTCAGGCAACACTGCAAAGGCATGTGGAGCGACAGCGAAGATGATAGCAATTCAAACGGCAAAACACTGACAAAACAGCAAAAGGTAGTCAAATGCAATGATGCCACCTTCGAGCCTCCTCATGCTCAAGAAGGACACGCTTCACCGGAAGGCGCCAAAAGAAAAATAAACAAAGACCTAACCACCGACATGGTAGAGAGAGAAACAACGGAAACTAAGATTGAGACAATGCAGCAAGCAAGCCGCAGTCATACAGCAGCAATTGGGGGGCCTCCGCCCTTGCAGCACAACCCCCGACAGCGGCAAAAGCAGGGGATCGACAAGGAAGATGCAGCGGGCTTACAAGGATTTGGTGGCGTAAAAAGGGCACTTCACCAGCCTCTAGCAGTAGATGCCTCCCATACATGTAAGGGCAAGGCACTGGGGAAATGGAACTGCATGCGCAGGCGCGTGCACGCAGCAGTAAAAGCAGCGCCTGCTGCTACTACTTCTGCAGCTGCTGTGGGGGTTGAAGTGGAAAAGAAGGGACAACAAACAGCAGAGGGCACAGGGTCGGTGTCGCGGTCGCTGCAGCTGCTGAAGGCGATGAGTGGCCTCCCTTCCCCTTCGACAGGGTCTAGAGAAGGCCTCAAGGAGGTATCAGGTAAACCCACAGGTGGCAACAGCAACCCGAACAAGCAACAAGAGCCAGCAGCAACACGGGAAGCTCGCAAGGAATTTAATGAAGCTGTTCAAGATATCCGCAAAATGGGTAAGAGTACTCTGGCATGAAGCCATCAACCCCCCCAGGCCTTCATGCTTGTCTGTGACAGTCTTGGCGAGCTTGCTCTGCGAGCTGTTGCAGCATTTGGTGTCTTTTATATTTTCCCCCATATTATTGCTTATTGCTGCCTTATCTTTCAGTGTACCCCCACCTCGGGCGGTTTCAGCGCCGTCAGTTCTTAACAACGGCTTTGAGAGCCATGGGCATTGGTAAGTCGTTTAGTTCTACGCACGTGCGAAAAAATGGTAAATATAGGATATTTATACACATTTATTAACATGTATATCATCGTGCGCTTGAATCACTCCCTCGTGTAGATATTGCAAGGGATATGGGTGACAGTGGTGAGGAACACGAGCACAGGCGACCCGGAGGCCGTGACCTGAGGATTTATGGTGTGGGATTGGATTGTAGCGTTTGGTTGCAGCTGCTGGGAAGACCCAGAAGATGCCCCTTCCAGAGCTGCGTGCTCGGCAGAAGGCGAAAGCCGAGGCAATAAGCAAGCGAAGGGCAGAGGAGAAGACTCTGGGGGTGACAAGCCACATTGACTATCAGGGATCGATTCAAGAAGCAACTCGATCGCGGTTGAAGCTGAAGGCACAAAAAGCTAGGAGGAAACACCTGCGCGACACCTTCAAACACGCTGGCAAACTCAGCAGTAGACAGAAAAACAGAAAAGATGTAGCCTCGTGATGCATGCATAAAAAGACCACGAGCAAATACAGTAGAGCTCGACACGAATATCGGGTTCCGGTGGCCTGCGTATTTTATGTTACAGTGCCGCTTCACTTATGGGTTCCTGCGAACACGGCACGACGAATCTTAAATGCAACACGTACTGCAGACATTTCGTTGCTGCACAGAGTCAGTGGCTACGAATGGATTCCCCAGGGGAACATACTTCAAAACAAACTTTCGAGCAGCAGAGGACGCAGCCGGTGGTTTAGACAGAAACTGCTGGGGCCGTCATGAGTTTTTTTTTCTGTTTATGCCATCACATCCTTCACCCCGTATTCTGTGGAGTGGTGAACTCGGAAAGTTGATTGAACAAATCTGTGCGGCTTCAGTAGTCTGTAAGAGCTGTGTAGTGGCAGGAACCTACACAAGGGAGGTGTGGCGGGAGGCTGTTGGACTTTCCCTGCAACGCTCTACAATTCACCTATTCATGAGTGTAAAATGCAACGTATGTGTATGCTTAACATCTGAAGTTTAAACTACTAACATTTGGAATAAACAGTGGGACTTTCAAAGTCTTGAGGCCTGCAAGCGCTGAAGGCACATCCGTCGGCTGCGCCATCGAGGTTTATATATACCTGAGGTCTCCCTGTGGGTCCAAGGCGATAAATTCATATATGCATTGTACTTTCTAAAGCGATTTTCTGTTTTATGTTTGTTTGAAACTCAACTAGCCCCAGCGAACAAATCGAGACGAAGATACCAATACCTACGACGGGCGACCAACCCACCCCCCTCTGAAGTGCTTGTCGGCCTAAAGAAGGCTTTTCCTGAGAACTCTTCGCGTTTCTTTTCGTAAATTAATGTATACTAAGTCAGCAGGTTCAGTTAAGTAGTCAGATGAGAGAGCGAAACCCTCGCTGATTTCGCCAGCCCGGGTTCAGCACCTGCAGCGTGTTGAAAGAGTTTGTTGGTTAAAAACATACAATGGAATTAACAGCCAAGGAGAAGGCAACGGAACTCGAAGCTTGTATCAGAGGTGAAGAAAATATATGTACAAATGCCAGTCTGACTTCTAATGACCTCGTCGGACTTCCAGCGCTGCATTGTGAACTTAAAGCAGTGCCTCAGCAAACCGCTGTTTGTGTCTTGTTTGAATATTTGAGTAGTTTCGTTATACATGCGTTGTCCATTCTTGCCACTGCGATGCTGGGATCTGCCCCCTGCCCCGCCCACCTCCCTCGGTGGTTACATGCATGCAAGGGGCCTTAACACCTCCGTTTATATTGCCGTCTGTTTCCCCCTAATTCCCATTCTTCAGAAACGCAAAGAAAGGTGGAGGCACTCGTCAACAGCGATGCTGGAGATATTAACTCCACTGAAATCCTCCAACGCATTGAAGCAAACCAAGCGGAGGTTCACCAGTTGAAGGTTTCTGGTGAAATCCCCGAGGCTATCTTGGCTCAGCAAGAGCGGGTATGCGTATATCATGCGTTAGCAGGGCATGCGTACACATGAAGGTATATTTCCGGTGGTTGTTGTTTCTACTCTGCTACCTTTGCTGCTGCAGATCCTCTCACGCGCCGCCGAGTTGCTGGCTTCCCATTGCCAGCGGAAGTCGCTGTCTCGCCCTTTTTCTTTCAAACGTTCTGCAACGGCAGCATCAGCAGAAACAGCAGGAACAACAGCAGTCTGTCGAGACTCTCATGACGCAGCAACTGGATTTGCTGCAGGGGCAGATGGGACAGCAAAGGAAGCAAAACTAACACAAACAACTAAAGAGACAGATGCCCCAACAAACGTCCTTCACATCTCTGACATTTCCAACAGAGTGTCTGTCTTTGGCATCTTAGTTTGTCACACGAGCTGTGAAACCAGCGAAGTGCATGCATGCATGCATACATACATGCACGAATACCGTTTCCCCGCATGCGTGCGTGCATGCTTGGTACCTGCGCGTAGGCATGGATAGAATCGGCGACTGTGTATGCCTGCTCGCAGGGTTTTAGTGCCCCCTGGAGTAGCGGGTGGAAGAGAAGTCTGGATGAAGAATTTGGTGAGAGTTGCTGCCTTTCGGAATTTGTTCCTCCTTTTATATTTTTCCTCTCTCCGGTTTGCGTACAGCTTCGCTGTTGCAGTTGTGCGCGCGCTTCTCTGTTCATTTCCGTTTGCTGGTTTTGCCCCTGCTTCAGACTTCAGCCTACTTCAGAACCTACCCAGAAAACATACATAGAGGGTGCATGTTGTTTTCTGCCTGGTTGCGTTGTACACACCTATGGGAGGCTGGCTTGCTGTGGTTTGTGCTGCTGACAGGACGGCTGCACTGTTTACATTTTAGATGGAGTTCCTGGTGGGAGGTTGCAGGATCTCTGCAACTGCGCTGTCTTGTGAGCAATTGCACTTGTTGGATGTAGAGATGCTCTTTAATGCATGCAGACAATGCAGTAGTATGAGATAGTTGAAACAAGCATTCAGCAAACAGCGCCTCCCTTCTCCTCCCCTGGCGTTTCTTCAGGCTTCTGAATGTAGCCAGCGCTGTGTGGATTGGAGACTGCAGCAAATGCCTTTTCGATGTTCACGCGCAGCAGGTGAACCGCAAATATGTATCTGGGCAAGCACGCTATATATATATATA